ATTCATGTCGCAGCGGTCCCAGCATCCACCGAGGCCAAAGGCGAAGCCTGACCCGAACAGCAAGAAGTCCAAGCAGAGGCTCCTTCGTGATCTTGCAGCGGCTGCCGAAGCTGAAGGTGATCCCCTACCAGCGGCACCGCACAAGTCTAGGAAGCCGATGAGATTCAAGATGGCACCACCTCTGCAGCACATAGCAACCAACGAGTGGTGCCTCGAACATGAAGACTCAGAGGCTCTGAACCGTGAGAGTGATCCAGATGGTCCTGATCTTGATGGCCTTGCTGGCGACGATGGAGGCGAGAGAGCTGGTGGCGTGCATGAGGGACCCAAAGTTCTATCGGTGCCCTTGCATGGTCCTGTGCGGTCGGACTGCGGAGAAAAAAGGCACCGTTACGTTGTCAGACGCACCCGATCCTCACCACGCCAGCGGAGGCACCGAACGACCTCTGGGCCTCCTCGTGAGGGAACGCCGTGCACTCGCAGGCCCCCTCAGCACGTCACAGATTCTGGTGCTTCCCAGCTGGACCTGGAGGCTGCTCTGGATCGGGAGCGGCCAAGAAGGGGGTGTCCAAGAGGGGGGGGGTGCAAATCATGGCCGGCGGCATGTGCGCGACCCAGCGGGGAGGCCAGGGACGTAATGAAATAAGAAGAGGCGCCGTGAAATCTGGGGAAATATCATGGCCCCCGCCATGATATCCACCCCCCCCTAGTCATCACCCCCCTCTTTTCCGCCCCCGACTGGAGGCAGGCGAGAGCTTCCTGGCGTGGGCCACCGGGTTCGAGTCCTCCTCTCGCGTGCCCTCTTGGGGCGCTCCCCCCAGGGATCCCAGGGAGGCACCGCGGCCGAGGCTCCTCGACCCCCGAGGCCCGGGGAGCCCACTCTGCTTCGGTCAGGGGGGGAGGAGGAGGAGGAGGAGGAGGAGGAGGAGGAGGAGGAGGAGGAGGAGGAGGAGGAGGAGGAGGAGCAGGAGGAGGAGGAGGAGGAGGAGCAGGAGGAGGAGGAGGAGGAAGAGGAGGAGAAGGAGGAGGAGGAGCCCGGTTGCCCAATGGTGGTCCACAATTTCTTTCGTCCTGTCAGACCCCACGGGCCACTCGAAGAATCGTTGCGGCCATCGCGTGCGGCGTCTGGGAGAGAAGCTCAGGACCGCTTGCCCATCAAGGTGCCAGTGTCGCCACTGCCTCCCCTGTTTCCCAGCTCGGGCCATGAGTGGGCCAGAACCCGGAGGTCAGTTTGAGCTTTTTCACGGACCAGTCAGTCCAAGATGTAAGCTATCAAGCACACCAGAATGCTGGGCAAGCCCAGAGGTCAGTGATCAGTGCAGGTCGAGGCAAGCCCAGAGGTCGGTCAGTGCAGGTCGATGCAAGGAGACATGGGGCTTTATAACAGGCTCAGAGACAAGGCAGTCCACGTGGGTAATATGCGCTCCAGGGGGGAGCTTGCCATTGATTCCGCGATGCTTTTCCCTGTGGCGAGAAGCCCAGAAGCTAGCCAAGCAGAAACCAGGTCGGGCCCCAGGGGTAAAACGACTGTCCGAGAGGGACTGCCACTGGCTGCCCCGAGACGGCCCAATCGAACTTGCGAGTCTCCTTTCACAGATAGGAGCCAGATGCTACTGGCCATGGCAAGCGCTGGTTACTCGAGGCACCCTGCAAGCAAAAGATGCGGATTCCGATAACGCTTATCAATCTCCTTGCGTGGTTGGTCCGCTTTGGGGGGCCGCGCTCGGAATGCTGATCGGGCCTTCTGGACTCGGGACACAGTGGGGCCCTGGGATACCGCGAGTGCGGGCTCGTCCGCGTTACAAGCTGCGAACTCTAATGTTCCCGATTTCCAGAGCGACAGCCGGCTCTGAGATGTGACAGGAAGTGTCTCACAGTCATCGATGGGATCTGATGTTGGACGAGGCTCTTGAAATGATCTTCCCACCTTGCCACCTTGCTCTTGAGCTGCAGGTCCACGCTGCCGTCGGATTCCTGAGAGATAATGCTGGGCACTCTCCGCCTGTGGAGGATCCAGAGCTTTCGCTGATCCCTGGGAGCAGTGGAGCTGTGGACCTCGGTAATTAGGACGGCGCATAGCCACGTCCGTGCAAACGCGGTCACGGGTGCTCCACGTGAGGCGTCTTTGCACACGTGGGCTGATGGCAGTGTCCAGCGCATGCGTGGCACAAGAAGGCTGGTGCCTGCCAAGTTGTCCGAAGCGGGTCCCCAGCTTGTTAGAAGCATCGAGGCCGCTCACTTGTCCGTGGGCACATGTACGAAGCGGCTGCATCAGATGCTTCGAAGCAACTCGGTAGAGGTACAGGTCAGCTTAGTTGTGACTGATCTGGGGACTGACGGGGATAAAGCCAGCGCTTCTCGTCCAAAGCAAGGAATTTCGAAACTTACAAATTCCCTAGGACAACCGGCTCTGCGAGCGGTGGGTTCCGCCAAGTGTTTTGATAGTAAATTTGCGCCTACAGAGCTCGCATTAAGACGCAGAGGCCCTCATAGTCGTTTACAGGTGCGGAAAATCTGTTTTCTAAATAAATGGTCAAATATCTTTCAAATATTCGTAAAACCACCGAAAAGTTATCACTTTGTCCTTTCTGGGATAGTGATCATAGCAGCAATGTTTCTAAGTCTAGGTATTCGGACAAGGTCCGTGGCACGGCCTCCCACGTCGTCTTGAGGTGGCGCGTTGCGTTGGGTCGTCTGTCCGGGGGAGTCGCTGAAGGGGGCAGGTGCCTGAACACTCTTCTTGCTCTGGAGTGCGGAAGGAGAGAGCCGGTATTCCTCGCTCTCTTCGACACCATCGAATCGTGGTTGATGGTCCTCACTGACCCATCGTTCCATGCGGAGAGGAGGTTAGGAGAGTCTGGAGGCGAGTGCTTCAGCGCATCGGCGACAAGCCCGAGGGACAGAGATGGAGGGAAGTTGCGACCCCTGCTGCCGCCACTGTCGCCACCTTGTTCGATCTAGGATGGCACGCTTGAGGACCTTGGTCGTGGGAGGGCGATGTAAGAGACAGGTTTGCGATTTTAGAGAGCAAGTTAGGTCGAGGCAAGGTAGACCTAGCTGAGCTCAAAGAGGCCCTTGCCGCTAGCTTGGAGAGGAAGCTTCGGCGAAGAGCCGCACACAACTCTCGGAACAGCACGGGCATAGAAAAGGTTCCATAGCTGTTCGACTCTACGAGGGATCTCAAGCGCTCAGCTAAGAAAGGCAAGTATTCCTGGGCAGGTATACTCAAGGCAGCGGCTACGAGCAACAGTTGGACAAGGAGATGACTAGTCGACTATGGCCGCTTTCGAGACAGCCCCTGTAATCCCTGCTGTGACGCTTTCAAATCCGATGTGCACGGGTCATGGGGCCGTCCTCCGAGTAAGAAGTTCAGTAGTAAAGTTTAGGTTCGTTTCTATGGAAGCCTTCGGATGTCGGCACATTGGGTGTCCAGCGGCGGATAGCGACGAATAGCGGCGACTAGCGGCCACGCGTGGCCAGCGCCGACACCCTTGGACGATAAGGGCCTTCCTCCCCTTCCTCCTCCTCCTCGTCCTCCTCCCCCTCCTCCTCCTCCTCCTCGTCCTCGTCCTCGTTTTCCTCTTCCTCCTCTTCCTCCTCCTCCTCCTCCTCCTCCTCCTCCTCCTCCTCCTCCTCCTCCTCCTCGTCCTCGTCCCACCCCCCTCCCTCCTCCTCCTCCAGCACCACCCCCGTCCCTCCTCATTCAGCCCGCCGTCCCTAGGGCGGGCTGCGGGGTGCCACTGACGGAGGGGACCCCGCCCAGACTCAGACCCACTCGCATTCAGAGACGTGATTTCCCCATTCACAACGTAGCGCGCGCTGGCGCGCGCGGCGGCGCGCATCGAGCCGGCGCGTCGCACGGTCAGCGACGCCCACAGGAAAGCCAAAAACGAGGCGGGGGAGGAGGAGGGGAGGAGGAGGAGGAGGAGGAGGAGGAGGAGGAGGACAAAGGAGGAGGAACCACCCCATTTCGTCGCCCCCCCCACGCGGATCGCTCGCGCGCGGGGCTGGCGGAGGAACGGCGGACGGGAGGGCAAGGCCCCCCGGGCGCGGCGCCCCTCTCAACGGGCAGGCGTCGCACACGGGCCCTGGACCCAACCGATTTCGGTGTTCGTCGTCGTCGTCTTCGTCGTCGTCGTCGTCGCCCCTGGGGCTGCCAAGTGCGCAACTGTCGCCACCCACGGGGTTGCGGAGATGGCGCAAGCCAGTGGAACGAGGCTGGCCTGGGGGCGGCGGCGGCAAGCAGATCCCGCGGGCCAGCAAGCGCATCGGCACGTTCGGAAGCCGATCGGGCCCTGGAGTCCCCAAACACTCTAAGTCCCTATGGGTGCTCTGGGCGCCATTGAGCCCCCTGGAAGCCCTGGGCCGCCTGGGGCCCCTGAGTTCCTTGGAGGCGCGCCGCTGACAAGGTTACGCAGGCAGCTCCACTGACCTTGGACGGGCGCTGGCCCTGAGATCCCTCCGGAATATGTCGTTGTTTTGTGCCAGGGCAGCTTACGCAGCTCATCTTTTTCACGAGATAGCACCTGGCAAAGATGATCACAGACCCCCCGGGGCCCCTTTTCCCGAAAAGTCGTAAACGTTCTACTGGACACGAACCTCTTATGGAGGGGTGGGAACCCCGGCGCGACGGCCGCCGCCCACCGAAGGATATTCCAGAGTTTCTCGGGCGTCGTGTTTTGGCTGGCCCCGTGCGTTGAGTGGCGCGCCTGTATATCCGCATCACTGAGAAACTGGCCTGTATCAGTATCGCTGAGGCACTGCCGGCGACGATGCTTCAGAAACTGCATACGCCGATGCCTCTCGTTGTCCGCCTAAGCAGATGCCTCAGAAACTGCCTTCTCGGTCCGGCCGAACCACGCCTCGATGCTCACCTTCGCCTTCTTCGGCGGCGGCTGGTCCGCCGCCTTGTCCCCCCCCCGCCACCGCTGCGGGCGCGGCGGGCGCGCCCACCTTGCGCAGGTTCTTGCGTGTGAAATTTTTCGCCTGCCCAAGCCCTTTCACGGCGCACTGCGTGTCCGTGACCCGCACGACCTCAGCGCGCAACCCCGCCCACTCGCCCTTCGCGAGAACCTCGACTTTGTCCCCAGCTTCTCCTGATCCTGCACCTCGGCCTCGGCAGCGTCGCCCGCCTGGCTGCCCGCCGCGGCCCCCGCCTGAGCTTTGGGCGACCGACATGGGTGCAGAAAAAATGGTTACGATGCCCAACAACAAATGTTGTCCCGAACAAGCAGGGGCCGCTGTTGGGCAGGCGGCCTCCTGTCTCGAATGGACACAGGCCGCGGCGGCGTGGACAGCGAGGCCTGTTCAAAATGAACAGGAACTGCTGTTGGGCATTGTGCCCATTCTTTCGGTACCCATTTCGGGCGTCCAGATGAGCCTCTGGCGGCTGGGCAGCGGCGTCGGCCAGGCTGCCCGCCGCGGGCCCGGCCTGAGCCTCTGGCGGCTTGCCGGCGGCGTCGGCGACCCCTATCTCCCCCTGGCTGGCCGCGCTCGCCTTCCCAGCCTCTGCGTCGCCGCGGGCCTTCGCCTCTGCGAACACGTGGGCATGCATCGGGCACTGCTGCTTGTTCATCCGGCCCTGCAGCAGCTTCAAGATCGCAGCCAGGCCGTCCGCGGAGAACTCGGGCAGGGCAACCTGCGCTCTCCCCTGTCTCGGGCAGTCCAACCTGTACTCTGCCATCTCCATAAGCAACTCCCGCGACAGCGCAGGGTCGCCAGAGGTCTCCTTGATCTTCACGTAAGAGGTCAGCAAGCCCTTCACAGTGGAATTCTTCACCAAGTCCGCCCTGTCGCCAGCGATCTCCAGGAAAGCTTTGAGATCGTTCGCCACCTTTGCAGATGACGCGCTCGAGAAGTCTGCGCTGGCGCTGGGCTCCGCGAAGCGCACAAACGTCAAGCGCGGGTCCTCCGGGCGCCATGTCTGCAAGAGCTCGAACCGCTTCGGGTCACCCATCAGGAACGCCTGCGTGTCCACCTCGGGCGCCGGGCCGTGGATCTCGCTGCTGACGAGAAACTCCGCATGGCCTGGCCTGTGCGCGAGCAAACGCTGCGCGTCCTGAAACCGGGCCGCATCCGTCTCGCCCGCTGCCCCGCGCGCCAGCCCGAGCTGGTAGTCGAAGACGTCATCCAGGAACGAGCGCCAGATCTTGCTGTTCACCAGCTCATGCCGCGCCCCCGTCTTCATGTCCTTCGTCAAGAGGTCCCCGCTCTCCTTCTTGTCGAAAAACGCCATGGAAATGAGCGCCCCGATCATGCCGCCCGTCGTCCCGCTGGTGCGTTGCCACTCCTGGAACTCAGGCACGAACTTGGGCAGCAGCTCAAACCCGTGCTCGTGGTGCACGATCTCGATGGCAACGTTCTTCGGAGACTCCTCCGCCATCCCCCACGCAGCGCGCCCCTTCGGAGCCGGCGGCCGACTTCCTGTCCTTCATCTTCTCATTGAACGCATGGAACCAGTACAGGGCGGTGGGTTCGTTCGGGTTCGGGTGGACGGCGTCGGCGGGGCGCCTCGTCATGAACTTCCCGGCGCACTCCGCAATGAACACGTAGATTTCCTCCTCTTTGGACGCCCGAGATGGGCGCGGAAATAATGGGTACAATGCCCAACAACAAATGTTGTCCCAAACCAACAGCGGCCGCTGTTGGGCAGGCGGCCTTCTGTCTCGAATGGGCACAGGCCGCGGCGGCGCGGACAGCGAGTCCTGTCCAAAATGAACAGGAGCTGCTGTTGGGCATTGTACCCAGTCTTTCCGTGCCCATTTCGGGCGTCCAGATCCTCGTCTGTCATATCGGAATCCTGCCGCCGCAGATCCCGGTTGGGCCGCTTGGCGGCAGGGGCGGACGGCGCCGCGAGCGCGCCTGCCGAGCCGACCCCGCCCTCCGCGGTGGACGCCTCGGGGGCGCCCCCAGCTGGCGGCTCCACCGCGGTGCCGTCCTTCAGGGCACGCGACGCTCCGACCACGCCCTGGCCCTCGTCCTCCACCTCCTCGTCGCGGCGCTCCTCCATCCCGAAAGCGCCCCGATCTCCTGGAAACCCTCCTTGCGAGGCACGCGCTGATCGATGACCCACTCTCTCGCGGGGTCGAAGCAGAAGTCCTTCTTCAACGTCTCGGGGTCCTTGATATACTTGGCAACCTTTGGGCCCTGGTCCAACCTCGGGCGCGTCGTTTTGGGGGCAACGCAGTCCGTGCACAGCCGCCTGGATGTCCGAACCTCCGCGTTCTTCGCCTTGCCGAACCTGCCCCCGCGAATCCGAATATCAGACCACGGTTTGCCTTCGATCTCTGCGATCAAGACCTTCTGGGCTATAAGTCGTTTCATGGACTCTTCTGTCTTCTCTACCTTCAACGTCTTCAGCGTCTTCGCCGCGCTGGTCCTCTGCTGCTGCGTCAGCGGCTTCATCTGCTTCACGTGTGCGTCGATCTGCCCCTCAGCGATGCTGTCGGCCATGGTGGCGCTGTCGGCGACGCTGTCGGCGACGCTCTCGGCGGCGCTGCACGCGCCTAGGCCTGCTCCGCGGACCGCCACTACCCCAGAGTCAAACTCAGCCTAAATGGATTACGGGAGTTGTTGGTGTTGGTATTGTTGGTATTGTTGGTGTTGTTGTTGTTGTCGTTGTTGTTGTTGTTGTTGTTATTATTGTTCTGGATGTTGAACATTATTTATTCTAAAGAATAATTATTGTTGGGCCCCCTGGTGCGCGCCCCCCCTGCGCCGCCTAGGCCGCAGCTCCATTTTCATCATTTTCGTGAGGAAGTCTCAGAAAAGAGGGTGTGTACAGGATCCGGCTGTTTTGTTGTAGTCCGCTTTCCCTTGCAAAAAACAATAGAAAATGACATTTCTTGTTCTAATATAATCAAATTTCAACAATCCCTTGCAAAAAATAATGTAAAGTGGACATTCGCGCGCGCAAGACGAAATCCTTCCAAAACCTTAGTGTTCGCAGCGATTTTAACATAAAAACATCAAAAAACCAATGGTTTTTCAACAAAAAACTGTCAAAATCTCATCCCGCGCGCTCTTGCGGATTCGTAGGAAACCCAACACTTTTTAAACATTTCTGTCAAACGGGCTTTTGCGAGACAACCATCGAGACAACCATCGGGACAACCATATCCTCTCTCTCTTGTGTATTCCCACATCCCTCAGGAATTTGCCCTAAAGATGTGATCAACTATCTTGTGAGTACGTATCATGTGTATCATGTGTATCATGTACCATATGCATCATATGCAACAGATGTTCTGTGGAAGGCTTAACAACTTCTGTGGGTTAACAAGGCTTAACAACTTCTGTGGGTGTACGAACGTAGGCTTAACAACTTCTGTGGGTGTGTACTCCACGCCAGTGTAGTAGCCACGGTCGTCCGCAGGCCACGAAGTGAAGTGTCCGAACGTCATAGGGCGGGAAGCTGGGTGTGGGTGGTGGCGAAGAGTCGTGTGGATATTTGGTAGAGCTTGCACTGCCCCCCCACAAAGTGGGGGTATTGGCTGGCGTCGCATGAAAACCCTGGCACTGGTGAGAACACTGAGCGTTCGGGTAAAGTGATTGTTGTTGTTGTTGTTGTTGTCCCCCATTTCATTGTTTTTTTTTGGGGGATGATGAGAACCGCCACTTTGTTTGTGTCATCGGGGCGCGGGCTGGCGGGGGACGGCAGAAGGGCAAAGCCCCCCGGGCGCGGCGCCCCCCGCACTGGGCAGGCGTCGCGCACGGGCCCTGGACCCAACCGCTTTCGGGGATGCCTGGCCGCGTCGTTCGTCGCGTTCGTCGTCGGGGCACCTCTGGGGCCCCTTTTGGGCCTCCTTCTAGGGCCCCTTTGGTCGTCGTCGTCGTCGTCGGGCGGCGTGATACATTTGCCCACGACCGTCGTATCTACTCTCCCGCTATCCTCCTCCTCCTCCTCCTCCTCCCTCCTCCTCCTCCTCTCCTCCTCCTCCCCCTCCTCCTCCTCATCTCCTCCTCCTCCTCCTCTCCTCCTCCTCCTCCTCCTCCTCCTCCCTCCTCCTCCTCCTCCTCATCCCCGCCCCCCCCCCCCTTCCCCCTCTCTTTCCTCCTTCCCTCGTGGGCTCTTCCTAATATCTGGCTCCTCCCCCGCCTCCTCCCCCCCCTCCCCCTCCTCCTCCTCCTCCTCCTCCTCCTCCTCCTCCTCCTCCTCCTCCTCCTCCTCCTCCTCCTCCCCCCCCCCACTGAAGAGCGAAACAAGAAGGCATCCCACGGCGCTCTGCGCTGCAAGAAGGGTCGGGCCGCAGCTCCGTCTCTGATCCGCCTACGCGGCCGCGCCGGGCAGGCAATCGGGGCACCGCTTCAAGAAGAACGCCGTGGCTGCTGCTGTGAGAACGCCGTGGTCGCTGATGTCAGTCTTCAGCGCGCGGCATTGCACGTTAAAGAAACTCCGCCGGGCCCCGCACTTCAAGCACCAGTCGCCCTTGCGCATCTTGTGGAGCATCCAAGCCCGAGCGGCCAGGAACGCCTGCGCGGGCGGGTCCGCGTCGGCATGGCCGTCGTACGTGGCGATGGGCAAGGTCTTGCTCTTCAAGGTGGCACCCAAGTCGGCCTCCGTCGCCCACCTAGGGCGCGTCGATATCTTCACGTCATTGCAATTTCGGTTCCGTGTCATGGTCAAGCACGCGCTCCTCCAAGCGGCGTGCGTCCCAGCAGGGGCCCGGTCCCCATCGGATCCGCCTGGGGGGTCTTCCTTGTCATCTGTCACTGCGCGTTCGCTTCCCATATCTTCGTCTGCACAGGCTGCCCCTGGCTCCTCCTTAGTTACGACTGCCGGCACATCGTCGTCATCTGAGTCCTCAGACGGGAGGGCACCGTCGATGCTGGACGAGGCGTCGCTGAAGTCGGACTCCAGATCCTTCTCCTTGGTCGCCGCGGCCTTCTGGGCGGCGGTGGGCCAAGACACCTCCTCCCAAGTAGATCTGGGCGCCCTCAACTCTCGTGACAGTGTGGAACAGCGCCTGGATCGCGGGGTCGCCCGGCACGTCGCCCACCCACGTGGCCTCCGCGGCGTCCACGAAATTCTCCCAGCACGCCTGCGCGTCGACGAGAAACTCGTCAGCTCCTCCAGCGGCATGGCGCCGCAAAGGGAAAACCCAGCATGCCTGCCCGACGCACGCGGCGAGGAGGTAGAGGTAATGCCCAGGAGCCGCCTGCGCCGCGCAGAAGGGACCCTTCTTGTCGAGGGCGAGTTTCCCAATCCACTTCGGGGCCCGCGGGCGGACGGGCCCTAACCGGTCGTGGTCTTGCAACGTCTCCATGGGGGTGATCCGCGCCGAGATGGTCGCCTGGCGACTGGCCGTCGAGTCCCGGAGCAACGTGTTCCACATGTCCCTGTTGTCCCCCAGCCACTGCAACCACTCGGCGGTGGTCACGGGAAAGTCGCCCGCCTGCTTCCGCAGGGCTGCCTTTGCCTGCCGACGAATCTCGGCAGCCTCGCTGACCAGGCGCTCGCGGTGTTCTGCGTGGTATGCCCCGAGCTGCTCCTCGTCGCCCTGGTGAGTAGTAATGCGCTTGGCCTCGGAAGCGTCGACGCCTGTCTCCCAGTGGAGCCTGCCGCGACCCCTTTTTCGGAGTTTGGCAAAAGTGCCCCTCGGCCACTTGGCCCCCAGCTTTCCGTCCGGTTTCGCGCCCCCCGCCGGGCCCTGCAGGCCTCGCGAGGGGTGCTCTGGAAGCCGCGGGGGCCTCCCTGGAACTCCCGGGGACACCCTAATCCAGGATCACCTTTGACCACCCCCATCCTTTTGAAGCTCTATGGATTGTCTCGGACTGCCAATGCGCGAGAGTTCATCGTGGTGTACTTGGAGTACACCTTCGTTTTCTGGCGGTGAACTTCCATGGCCCTCAGGACCCAACGCGGCACCAGGGGTCTCGGGGAGGCTGGCCTCGGCGCCGCTGAGCCAGAATTGCCTATTGCAGGCGCGGGACGGGTGAGAGCGAGCGAGGGTTTGTATAGGTGCGGGGCCCGGGGGCCCGCCGAAGCCCCTGGAGACTGAAATCACGCGTGCTTCCAGGGAACCGGTACCCGAGACTCAGCGCCGCCGGCGGCGGCCCCGCCCCTGGGCCTTCGCCCTGGATCCGAGCCTCGTCCGCCGCGTGCGAAACGCCTGTAGCAACGAATTCCGGGAGGCCCGGGCAACGGACATCACCTTGCCGCGCTGCTGGGGCCGCTTGTCACTGTGATGCGTTCGCTCCACGCCCATGCTGGTGGCCTCCGATTCCTCGAATATGCGGGCGATTTCGCCCTGCGCGCCCTGGGACTGGAGAATTTAAATACCAGCGCGGCCGCAAAGGGCCCGCGCCCCCAGGCTTCTCGTTGTAAGGGTAGCGAATAACCCACGTCCAGAGAGCTCGCCGGCGCGTGGAGGAACGCCTGGCAAGCTGCGTCATGAGGCCCCGCATTGCATTTCTCCGTCAACGTCCAGAGCTTCGCTGGAAACTGCTGGTATTCATCGAACCTGATGTATATCTGTGCTTGCGTGCTCAGAAGTGACGCCACTGTTGCATCGAGGCCCAAACCCGCGTCGTGCTCCTAGAGGGGCACTATCTCCGCCAGGAACGACGTTGTCTCAGTCTGAACCCTCTTCCGCCCCAGCTGCACCAACGTCGGGGGGGGCCCGTCCGCCCTGACTTTCTTGGAGCATATACTGACGGCGCACGCCGTCAGTCGGAGGCAGATGCGCGCACGGCGCAAGTCCCTGTCACACTCGGGGGAAACGTAGAAGGCCTGGAACTTATCGATGCGTTTGGAATTGCATGTACGCGGCTGCACCGCCAACGTCTTGGAAATGTCGCTGGGGCCCCCCAGCAGTTTGCAACGCAGGATGCCAAATGCGCACGATGCAAATAAAAAGAATCGGGTTACCACTGGGGCTGCCTCCACGCGGAGAACGTGGTGATATAACAAGGAGAACGCACGACCTTTTACGTCGGCCTCGTTTGTCCCTGCTGGGCAAGCGCGCTGCCATATGCCAACCCCTTTGTTGAAGAAGTCGCAAAGGTCTGGGGGGTGCACACCCCGCCCGGCCCGCCCGTAAAGCCGCTGCAAATGATCATCACCGCGGGCCTCCACGGGTTGCGGCGCTTCGAAGGCGCACGTCAATTGGCGCATCGCAAAATCTCGAAGGCGCAAGCCGAAATCATCACAGTAGGACGGCACGAGGTACTTGTAGTACCGAACCAGGGACCCACAAATCTAACCAAGTGGCCGTCATTCTAACCAAGTTCGCCTTGTGGCTGGCGCATTTCCATTGGATCAACCTGTACAGAACCTTACTGGCAAATCGAAAAGAACGAATAAAGTGGTGCAGGGCCCGCCGCAACGCAGCCTCATTCGTACCGATGGCATCGCCAGTGCAGGGGTGGACTACCTTGATCAAGATCCCGTTTGCACAACCACTGAACATCTTTTCGAGAAGACCTTCGAATGCCAATATAAGAGTTGTGGC